GGGTGCCTCGTATACTCGATGCTCTCATGGGCGCTCTCTTAAAATTTTAAATGAATGAATTTTAACTTGGAGATATTAAATTTATAATTAAATTTGAACATTTTGTTCTGGATGTGACAAGTAATTACTTTTTATTTCTTTTAAAGTTATTAGAAAAACTCTAAGATTTATTTACAAGTGAAATTGCAGATGTAAATTAATTCATTTGAATTTTTCGATTACATAGAGAAACGTTTTTTTTTTGTTTTTAGGTTTTCTTAATTTCATCGAACTCTATATTTTTAAGCTCGAAATCGAGACTCTTATTTAACTAATTCAATTAAAATCTTACCCATATTCTAATCATAGCAATTTTTGTTGGATGTTCAAATGTAATATAAATAAAATGATTTTTACTATGTGTAAATGGTGCAAGCCACATATGAATATCATCACGAGTTTTATTAACACCATCAATTAAATTTGTTACAACACGTGGATCATTATCATATTCAAGTAAAATATTTATATCTGCTGGATCTGCTGTTATCTATGTTTTAAATCAATTTTATAAAAGAAAAAAAGAAAATCTATTTGATTTCATACTTTTCGAATTATAACTGGATAACCTTGACTAGAAAATATTTCAATGCCATTTAAACCAATATAATGACGATCACCCCATGTTGTTTTTAAATTTAAAACTAATTGTTCACCACTAGGTAATTCAGGTATTGTAAATCTAGAAGAATTGCGTTATTTTATTTATTTTCTTTTTTTGTGTTCTTATTCAATAAATAATAGAAAAAAAGGTATAAATTTTACTGTTCTTCATCATTGTCATTTTCAAATTTTGATGTACTATTGGTAAAATATTCTTCTATGTGTTCATCTGATATCAAAAAGAAAAATTAAAATAAATTTTCAATTAGAAAAGATTAACTTTTTATTTTCATAAATACTTTCAAGCATTCCAAGATGTCGTCGACTGAAACGATCAATTTGAGTTATGGAATTTTCAAGCCAATCTGTATTTGGTGTTCTACGGTCTATTTTTTATAACAAGATAAGCCAGCTATTTGAATTTCGTACAAAGTTCTTTTCTTCTATCATAGTTGAATAGATCTCATTGAGTTAGTATTATTTTTTTTTTTAGTGAAAATTAGGTTACAGAAAAACCTATAGAAACTGACATATGCGAAAAAGATTAAATCTCGGTATTCTCAATAAGTGAGAAGTGTAGGGACTGAAACTCTATTCGATGGAATTTTTTTTTTCGCGTCTCTGAATATGATGTTCGTTTCATCTGGAACCGAAGTTTTAATGGTCGAATTCTCTAAACAGGAATCTAAGTTTATGGTGTGTTACTATCATATAAAAAAAAAACGATTTTCTCAACAATCTATGTTTTTTCAAAAAGCATATGTAATTTTGTGAATAAATATTAAGGTTATCGAGACTTGATATTTTTTGAATATATCAAAAAAACAATATTTTTAAAGGTAACTCAATGAGATCTATTTAACTAAAGATATTCTTCAAATTTCTAATTGTCAATATTTTACCGTTGGAACTTGGATCACGAAATGGACTTTGACGATTTGACATTTGTTGAAATCTCGGGGATTTTTGATCATCAGTTTCTGCATCAATATGAATTTCTCTATTCAAAAAAAAAAAAAATCATTAATATCCATATGAAAAATATTTCAAAATTATACTTCGGATGTAAAAGATTTTCAAGATCAAGACTATCAACTACTCTTGCTTTTTGTCTTGTTCCAACGACACGTAATAGTTGAGTATTTGAATATTTATTACTATTCTTGATTGGATCGCCTCCGACAAGTCGTGTTCCTATTCAAATAAAAAGTAATTACGACATCAAGTATTTCTTTACTTCAATGATCTCTGAGAAAAACATTTATACGCAGTTAAGTAAAAAAAAAAAAAAAACTTCATAAATTTTATTTTCCTTTTCAAAGACATCCTGGTTTTTTTTGCTTAAAGGAAAAAAGCAAAAGAAGAATGTTGTTAAAATAATTAATTATAAATTACTTTCGGAAAGTATTTAGTAAAAGAATATTTATTATAGATAACATAATGATTATCTATGATTATTATTTTTGATGAACTAATCCGTTGACATATTATTATTCATTGAAATCGAACGAAAAATTTTTTCTGAATAAAAAACAAAAGCAAAACTATTACCCGATTGACTTTCTCCTGATCTTGATACATTATAATAACTTGGAACAGGATTTTTGGATATATCTCGACGACTCATTCTATTTTTTGTAAGTAGAAGATAAGAGACAAATACGTGTGTGATATATTTTTCAACTAACAATCAATAAAAAAACAGTATGTGCACAAAAATTCACCATTATATTATTTTAAGAATACTTGTCTTCTGTTTCTTTTTTTTTTTCTTGTGTTCTGCTTTTTTCTTTTTATAGAGAAGTTGCTAAGTTGCCTTCTTCTTAACAACATAGCTGTCGTTGGTGAAAAATTTTCTTTTTTTTTTTTTTTTATCTTACCTGCCCGCCGACGATGATTCAGAAGAGATTTGTTCTTGAGATTTATTTTTCTCATCATTATTTTGTTCATGCATTATAGACTAAAGATTAATTTATAATTAGATTGATTTTTTTTTTGTTCGTCATTATTTATAACTTACTAATTTAACTAGTGTTGGAATGTCATCGAAAGATAAAGCTTAAAATAATAGTATAGGGATTTGTATTATAAAGATATTAACTTACAAACACGATTTAATAATTGATGATCATCGTCATCATCATCATCTGAAGATTCTTCAAAATCGGATTCATAATCTATATAAAAAAAAAAAACCACCAAAAGATATAATTTTTCTTCGTGTTTTTTTTGCATTGAAAAAACACGGATAAGATCATTTTTATGTATTCAACAAAAATCAACTCTACTTTTTGTCGATTTCTGGTAAGACATAATACCTGATGATATTACATAGGTTAGTTGTTGTACAACTGCTAACGTCCTCTAGGAAGACTGTTGAAAAAATTTTTATCTTTGTTTTTGTTGAAACGAATAAAGGCCGAAAAATGATTATATCAATACTTAAAGAAGATTATATGATATTGAATTTCTTAAGATTTTGAAAAGATCTCAAATTGTTTTTGATATGCCATTCTTTTTTGCCTCGTTAAGTCCATCATTCGATAGAACATTATTCACTCCGAATTTTACATTGCTTCTAATCTTCTATCAAGAGATTTCGGAACTCCAACTTTTTCGACCACGATAGAAAAAAGCTGATTTTAAACTAATAAATCCTGCTGACTAGCTTTTATAGTTTATATTCAAGTAAACTAAATTATTTTATCAATAACAAAATCTTTTCTTATGACATTAGAATAATCAATGAAGAAAATGTATGAGCAAAAGCTAAAGGATCACTTGAAAAAGGATTGTTTTTCTTGATTTAAATACTTAATATACTGATACCTATAATCAGTGTATTTGACCCCATTAATGAGTAGTTGGCAAAAAAGATTTAGTCTTATCCGTCCTAGTTTTCTTATTTACCTTGAATTTCATCTTGATTTGATTTTGTATTAGAAAACCAATTTGGCATCCAACTTTGATTAATATTTTCTGATTTCATTTTACAAAATGATATTTGATCATTCAAGTTATTAGATTTTATTTGGCTAGCATTTAATTCAATAACATGATCATTCCATGCCGATTTTGGTAATGCTTGATTAGATGTTCCAGCTGATTGTACTGCACGTTTAGATGTAATTTGTTCAGATTGTTTATTATTAAATAAAGATTTTGAATATGGTATTTGAGGATGATGATGATTAGAAATTGAATTTTGATCAATATCAGCAATAATAGAACCTTCAGCAGTTTTTATTTTTGTTTTTGTTGATGATGTCCATCGACGACGACCATTTGATGGTAATGAATTATTTTGTTGTGTTGTATTTGATGGTGTTGGAAATGAAAAATCAGAAAAATAAGGTGAAGGTGTTACAATTTGATGTGTTGGTCCATCTAAAAAATGCAAAGTGAATTATAATCATAATTATTTCTTATCTATGATTATTTTACTTATAATTGATGATGGTCGTCGTTGTCGTACACTATGTGCTCCATTTAAATATAATTGAAAACCGGTTTCACGTTTTTTTAAATTATTATCTTTTGGTGGACGTTGATTATGATATGCTTTAAGAAGACGATTTCGTTCTTGTAATTGAATTAAATATTCATCATGTTTACTTGGTACATCACCACGATGAGCTTGAATCTATGAATATAACAAAACAATATTACAACAACAAAAAACAAAAAAGCTTTTATATCTTACTGCACTTTGACTTCGATTTGTTCGTCTTGAAGAATTAAGAGATTCAATAGAATGATCATAAGTTGTATTCGTCATGATTAAAAATATCTAGAATCATTATTTTTAGCAATACGATATAAATTTAATAATATCTAATGAAACTTTAGATTACTGTTTATTATACAAGAACTTGAATAGCAATAGAAATCAATCGTTCTTCAGATGATCAACAAGTTAAATTCACTGTCGATAAAGAATTGTATTTAATTTGACATTATATGTCAAATCATGATTACTTTTCTTATTCCAAATACATCCTATGACTATTTCGAAACAATATCCATTTTAAATGTCATATTGTTAGAGGTATCTTGAATACTGTTTAACTCTATGTAAAATAATAAATTTTTTAATCAATAATAAATAAATATTGATTTTAAATTATAAATTTTTAATATAACTTCAAAATCTTTTGATTCTAAATAAAGATGTCGCTTATGTATAATCTATACGAAAAAATAGATTTTAGCCATCCAATTAACTTTTTGCGGCAACAAATCAAAATCATATTTCAGACTTTGCTGGAAAAGAAAAGTCATTGTTTTGATGTTCTATATGTAGAATTTATTCAATCATCAGACTATGAATTTTTTATTTAATTCTATAGATTTATTCAATGACATCTCGTAGTAATACTACAAAACTTTCTAATTTATCTGTTCAATGGGAATGGGAAGGAGATAAAGGTGTTTGGCAACAATATCCAATAGATATTCAACAAAAAATTTCTGAAGCATTCGATAATGACAATAATGAAGTAATTCATAATTAATTTTTCTTTTTTATTTGATAAAATTATTATTTTTTTATTGTGTAAGGTTATTGTTAATCAAACAGAAGAGATAAGTATATTAATTAAATTTCGTGATATGATACAAATAAATCAAAAATCAAAATTTATGCGTCGTATACGTCTTTGTATTGAATTAAAAGATAAAAATGGTTTTTTTATATATGAATATGAAAATGAAAATAAAAAATGGTTTGCTTATAATGTTGAAAGAATGATTAAAATAGCAAATGCTATTGAAAATGATCAAACAATATTATCAATCAATTATCAAAATCAATCATATGATATTGATTTTGATAAATCAATTGAAACAAATTTAAATACCAAAATTATTCGAAAAATACATTGTGTTAAATCAAGTTTGTTTGTTTGTTTGTGTTTTTGAGTTAAAATTCGTTTTTTTCTTCTTTATCTAGTGGCAAAATTACCATTGAATGTATCAACAATATCAAATAAACGATCATTAGATAATGATGAGAGTATAGAAAAGAATAAGAAAAAACGTGGTATATCAAAATCTACTCCAATAGAAAAAAGTGCAAGTAAGAACTAATGATTGAAATTACTAACGAGAAAATCTCTTCATCTGCCTCCTTCTGATTTCACTGTTTTTTTTTTGTTTGTGTTATGAGACTTATCACCCAACAAAAAAAGCTCTGTATTCTGGTATCTTTCTTCAAACAAGAAGGAAATAAAATGCATACAATGGAAGCCCATAATTTTCGAATTAGCTATTTTCAACACTTGTTTAATGATTATCTCATGAAAACATCGTGTTATCAAGCTGAAAATTTCATGAAATTTTGAATGTTTCTGATCGAAAATTGATTGTGACAGGAGGAGATCTTAAATAATATCTTTTCCTTTCTAGTGCGTACTGTGACAACAGTTATTGGAAAAGTTCCTGTTGATTCTGAATGTGTATCAATGTTAGGAAAAGCTCATGTTTATTGTGAAAATAATGATGTATTTGATTGTATGCTTAATCAAGTAGGGAACTGAAGTACTAATTTGATAATAAACTGATTCGATTTTGTTTTTTTTTAGACAAATGTTGGAAATAATAATAATAAATTTTATTTAATTCAATTACTTGCAGAAAATAATTGTAAAAAATATTATGTTTGGTTACGTTGGTATAAATTGTCATTTTAAATTAATTAATTAATTAATTAATTTTTTTGTCTTTTTCAAAAGGGGACGAGTTGGATATAATGGACAAAATAATTTAGAACATTACGGTTGTGATTTAGATGAAGCAAAAAGATTTTTTTGTCAAAAGTATGTCATTTCGAATTTTAATACATTACAATATTGATTAGAACAGGCTAAATCGAATTGATTTGTAATCAGTTTAATATCAAACAGAGATCTTACGATTTGTTATCAAATATGAAAATATGATATATCGAGTAACATATAATGGGTAGATCATAATGAATCTGACTAATTGTAAATGCAATTTTTCAAAAAACGTGTAACATTGCCATTGAGAAATTCACTAGATTTCTATAGAAACGAAAATATTTCATTCATTATTTGAAAGTTAATTAATTTTAATTAAAAAGCTAATTTTTAATATAAAAACAAATGTTCTTTATATATACATTAGATTTAGTGATAAAACAAAAAATGATTTTTATTATCGTAATACGTTTACAAAATATCCTGGAAAATATGATTATGTTCAACTTGATTATAATCCATCGGTAAGATTATTAAACTTTTAAGGGAACATATCCAATTGTCGGGTGCCGTTTGAGTGTTCATGCGTGACTCAGCCAGAGTTGTGATCATTTTAGAGTAGGTTTTCTGTTTCTGGGTTAGCTATTCATGGAAATTATAAGATTTTCATCTGAAGCTTTGTCCACAGATAGTTCTCATAACCATTAGAATATTCTAAAAATTTCATCTCAAACGAATATATTCTTTTTGAAATATTGAGTGTTCAAGACAACTCGATATCTCAAGAAGAATATGTTCGTTTGCGTTGAAATTTTTAAGATATTCTTATGGGCGTGAGACTTATCTATGGGCGAAATTTCAGATGAAAACCTCGTAATTTAGTTTTTCATAAATAACTGGTTCAGAGGCCGAAAGTCTACCAAAACGATCATAACTCTAGGGTGATAACACATGGGCCTGAACTATTTTAGAGCTTTCTCAGTTTGCCTGACGAGGGAACAATTTTTTGTTTTTGTCAAATTCGCAAGAACAAACAGTTTTCTTTGACGAAAGTGACTTGATATGAACAGAAATCGATACGCAGAAGTCATCTCGTTATCATAAGTGAAGATATCACATCTATGTTTCTCAACTAAATGTTCATCTGATCGATCACTTATCATTTTCGGTAACATAAAGACCCAGTTGATAGGGAGTTAAATTGGAAAAATAGATCACTAGTTGTTCTTAAAAATTTGACAAAAGCGAAAAATAAAATGTTACGTCTACTACGTAGTAAGAAAAAGCCAAAAAATGAAAACGTTATATAGAATCGTTTTTTTTAAGGGCGAACCAGAGACAGCTACTTAATTATGTTCTCTCGTGAGTTCTGCTTAAAGCCAAGATATGAGATCAAACAGCGTCCGACAATTGGATATTTTTGTCTTATTAATTTAATTTTTATCATAAATATTATTTTTCTATCAATATAGACATCCGAAAAAGTTGATGAAAACAATAAAAAACAACTCGTAACTATTGAACAATTAAAAAGTTTACCTATACCAGAATCAAAACTTGATAAACGTATACAAAATCTTATTCATTTAATATGTAACATACAAGCTATGGAAGAAGCATTACTTGAAATGAAATTTGATGCAAGAAAAAATCCTCTCGGTAACAAAAAAAAACGAACAAGCATTTTTTTCTTATCGATTTTCTTATTGTTTTTTTTTTCTACTTAGGTAAATTAAGTTCAACACAAATTAAAGCAGGTTATGGAGCATTAAAAGAAATTGAAACATATATAAAAACAAATAAATTTAATTCTGCATTTATTGAAGCAAATAATACTTATTATACTCGAAGTATATCTATTAGATATTTTGTTTAAAAATTTATTTTCTTTTTTATTTCATTTAGTTCCACATGAATTTGGTCGAAGTACTCCACCATTAATAAAAACAATTCAACAATTAAAACATGAAATTGAATTACTTGAAGCACTTGATGATATTGAAATAGCATTTACAACATTAAATATAAATACAAATACACGTTTAAATCCAATTGATCAACATTATGAACAATTAAAATGTAAATTATATCCTATTGAAAAACATGAAGATATTTATATATTAATTGATAAATATCTTCAATCAACACATGCATCAACACATCAACAATATAAAATGGAAATAGAACATATATTTAAAGTTGAAAGAGAAAATGAAGATAAATTATTTAAAGATGTTGGAAATAAAATGCTTCTTTGGTATAGAAAAAAAAAACATTTTGTTTTTTGTCTAAATATTAAATAATATTATATATGTATATGATAGGCATGGTTCACGTTTAACTAATTTTGCAGGTATTATGAGTCAAGGTTTACGTATTGCACCACCTGAAGCACCTGTAGTAAGTAAAAATTAATTCAAAATTTATATTATATGAATATTAATGCATTGAAAATGTGGACAACCAATAATCTCGAATTATCTTCAAGCGATATAAAATTCAGCTGTAACTTTGGACAGAAAGCCTGTCTGATGCAGAGTTCTTACGCTTAATTGTTTGGGCTCTTCATACGTACTAACTAATCATCAGAGCTAGTTAGAAATTTCTGTGACTTTTCAATCCAGGCCGATATATTCTGAACGGTCATAACCACTATGTCGGCTTGCCGAGTACTATATTATCTTGCTGAACACTACGTTTTAGTGAAAATGTATACTGCTAAGAACTACGAAGTGTACCAAGTATTCATAAAGAATAATACTTTTTATGAGAATCCATGAGAGAAATTTAGGTTCGGTCCAAAATTCTAACCTCCCTATGTCACAATATCGTCAGCATGCTATTGAACGAGTCACCCAAGACAAACAGCCGTCAGTGACTTGTCAAAGATCATTTCATATCTAGGTTTGAATAAAAAATTTGGATATGTGTCGAAAAACATAGCTATTTAACTATGCTGATTCTTACTAATGAGCATTATGTAATTGTGCTCGATTTCTAAGTAAATGAATGCCATAATTATTTGAAAAACTTCAAGTTGAATCAATGTTTTTGATTATTAACAGTAAAAACTTGAATATTTGTTTTCTTTGAATAAGAATTACAGATCCGTAAGTATTAAAAATCATTGTATTACAGGACTCTCAATAGTTTTTAAAAGTAATAAAACCTACAAATTTGACAGACAGTCGGAGACAATGTGTTTGGCAGGAGGTGATTGAGAAAAGATCCCTTCTAAAATTTTCCCACTACAAAGCTCTATGTCTGTATTTATTCAAATCAGAAATGCTTCTATAGAATGATGAATATTTACTTTTATTTTCAATCTTTTACCATAATCCAGTAGAGTGCTAGGGTTTAGTCCACAGCGCGAGTACCTTATGCAGGTGCTGATTAGAACAATGATATGGTTGAATTTGAAGGAAATCATTTCACGGTGAAAATGCAGAATAGGCCATAAATGATCCATTCTTCCTGGATGACGTAAGAATTGAATTTATTATTTTTTCGTAGTTATGTTGTTATTTTATCTGTATAAATCAAGGAAGCTATTTCCTGATTGAAATCAGGCCTTTCATTTTCAAGATCGTACGGGAATCACTAGCCTTCATTTTCATTTTATACTATGCAATCACTCATTCTTATTGTTAAGGTCTCGTCTGGATAGAAAGCCATAACAAAATGTTTATCGATAAGAAGTTATTTAAAATAACCGTGGAATGTTCTTAGTCTTTATTATTTGTATTCTAAAGTTTTTCGTATTATGTATATAAATTTATTAGAAAATAAATTTTTTTTTTTTTGTATTAAAATAATTTAGACTGGTTATATGTTTGGAAAAGGTTTATATTTTGCTGATATGAGTAGTAAAAGTGCTAATTATTGTTATCCAACACCAAGTAAAAATACTGGTCTTGTTCTTCTTACTGAAGTAAGTTTCGTTATTTCTTTTTTCTTGGTTCAAACAATAGTATCTTAATTATTCAAATTAGGTTTCACTTGGTAAATGTCATGAATTACTTCATGCTGATAATAATGCTCATCGATTACCAGAAGGTTTATCAAGTGTTAAAGGTCTTGGTTCAATAGCACCTGATTTAAAAAATGCTGTTACATTGTAAGTTTAATTCTGTTGTTTTTATTTTTATATAAAAAGTAAATATGTGAATTTTGTTTTCTCGAAATAGAGATGATGGTGTTGTTGTTCCTATGGGTCCTGTTGAATCAACTAATGTAGTTAATCCAAAAGGTTATACACTTAATTACAATGAATATATTGTCTATGATACAAAACAAGTTCGAATACGATATTTAATTAAATTAAAATTTTTATTTAAATAGACGATATAGAAAAATTTGAAAACAAACAGAGAAAGAAATTGATAATCTATTTTTGTTATACGTAGATTTATATATGCGTGTTAATCTCTATGCTTGATGTATTTTTTTGTGAATAAAACGTGATAAGAAAAAAAAAGATATCATTCTGTCTACAAATAGAAAGATTATATTTTTATTGAGAAAAAACAATAACTAATAATGAAAGCGGATGTACAATGACATTGAACATATTCGGATGGTCTCGCTGGCAAACTAAAGAATTTTATAGTATTTACTATGTATATAATGCGCCAAGAGTTCGAAATTTTAGCAGTTTATTCTTCTCTTTTTGTCATGGTTGGATAGAGGGTGTAGATGTGGGTGAATGCTGCGGTGTCGCTGATTTGGAGAAGCACCTATGAAATAAAACGTGATAAAATATTCATCATTAGATGAAGGAAATCTTCCTCTACTAATCTACTTAAATTCCGTTTGTGGATCAAAACTTCATAATCGTCTTTTGAATTCTTGGTACATGACGTACATTATAAATACCTTAAGATTCGAATATATTAGATAGTACATGTCATAAGCAACTCATGTTTTAAATCTAGTTAGCTTGCTGATGAGACCATCCGAATATGTTCAATATCCTCGTATACACTCTTTCATTGTATAATAAACTAATTATTATTAGTCAATATTGAAGTTCAATGAAATAAATCCGTGTCAGAAAAAGGTATTTTTTCATTATTATACTGTTCATTAGTTAATTTGAAACTAGTACGTGTACTTTGAGTTGTTAATGATTGTAATTGTATATCAGTACTTTTTCGTAATTTTGATATAGATGTTCGAAGTGTACTACTTTTCCTTCCTTTATTATTTGATATCATTGATATTGATGATCTATTTGGTGATATACTATTACGTGGTTGAGAAGTATTTGATTTATTAATGTTTATTATTTCAATTGTATATAATATATTATCTTCACCTCGAACCTTAAAATATTACAGAATACAAATACAAAATAATACAGAATGTCTAAAAAAATCCAGTGGAAAAATAAACATAGCAATTCATTCTTTTTTACAATTCGAACTTATTTTCATTAAAGTAAAGTTTGAATAAAATATGTCAGCATCTATGAAAATAAATAGTTTTTAGTCATGATCAAATTCAAATAAGCCACTATTGTAAAACGAAAACTACAAATTGAATTCGGAAATAAAAACCACGCTAATTGAACTTTGCAGTAATACCACATTTCAACATTTTTGTGAAACCAACATTGTAGGAAATCGATGATGTTCTGAAAGACTTTGACTAATTACTAGCGAAAAAGTCGATGAAGTTAACAATGCTTGTAAGATTATCTACGAGTAAATTAGATTGAATACTACAAGTTCTTTTGACTGATGATTTTTATTCTTAGCTAATCTTGACTTCAACTTCTCATAGGCATAGAAGTTGAAGAGACACCAATTGAATTCCAAAAACATATCAGTTTGCATAGTGAATATCAAAGAATAAATCTTATTATTAAAAAAACTCCTTGTGTTAAATTTGATTTATTAGTGAGATATTTAATCGATTTCAATGCACGTCTCTAAACTAGATCGAGGGTGTGACATACCCCTATTCATGAAAACTTTTTTGTTATTTCCCAGCGGAGTCGAAAATTTTTCTTGTGCTCTCTAAGCGTCATTAACTTCATCGATTTTCGATAGTATTCGTTTCTAGAGCCCGTCGGATTCGGGTCCGAAAATTTTGGACTCGATGGGCTCCACTCTTTTTACAAAATCGTTGAAATGTGGTGTTAATATAGTGCTCAGTTGGGGTGTTATTTTTTTTTAATATTCAATTTAGAGTTTTACAATGGGGAGCTTATTCGAATTCTGACTTTTATAGATGCATATATACTTTATCTATTAATAAATATAAGATCGAACTATGAAAAAGAATGAACGGGTGTACTTCTTTTTTGACTAGATTTTTATGATATCTTGTATAAGAAATAATTACTTTATATGAAATATATGGTTGTTGTGAATGTTTATCAATTGTTGTAATTAATGTTTGTTGTCGATCTATTTGACATGGACCACGCCATTGATTATTATCATTAATATTATCTGTGATTGGATTTAAACTAATTTTTGATTTAATTTTTAGATTATCATTATTAATTGAATATCTATTTGATAAAATTTTATTTTGTTTATTATTAACATAATCGACATAATAATTCAAATCACTAAGAAATGTATCAATCTATAGAATTTTTACATTTTTTTAAAATTTTATTTATAATAAATAAATTTTAAATATTGACCTACTTGTTTTAATTTAATAAATAAACATTGATTATCATTCATATGTGAATATTTATCAAGATTTAAATCTTTTTTTCTACAACGATGACTATATCTTTTTACTAAATCAAACATTGATTCAATAGCACTAAAATATAAATATTTCGAAGTACAAAAAAAAATCTATATTATATCTGTTCTCTTACATTTTAATTGTACCAATTTCTGTTAAATGTTCTATTGATATTTGTTGATAATTATTAATTTCAGTTTGAATTTTATCAATATGTTGTTGAATTTCAATAAGATTTTGTTGTAATTCTCGTATATGATTATTCATTGAAGATATTTTATTATTTTTTTTCTAGAATTTCAATTAAATTTTAATGAAATTATTTCAAAATATTTTACTTCAATTATTAATAATAATTGTCGTTGTACATCATTTAATTCTTCATTAGAATTTTTAATAATTGTAAGAATATCCTTAATATAGAAATTTAATGAAAAGAAAAATAAGTTAGAAAAAAAAAATCCATTTCTACTTGATAACTAGCATAAAGCATATTAAATTTTTCAATCATTTCATCAATTGATTGAAATCGATCAGTTTGATCAACAATCTAGAAAATATATTGTATATAGTGAAAAAAGATAGTTTAAAGAGAAAGAAAAGAGGACCCTGTCGGATAAGACGATCGTCCTTCATGTGAAAAGCGATCGATATCGTTTTGTAGAACAACTCATAGCACATTGAATGTTGTATAGGAAATTGCTTTTTTAACAAATTCTTATGTTCTAAGAAGCCATACTTCAGTTAACAGATATTATAGCAATTGTAGTTGATATGACTACATGTTAGGAGTCAGTATTTTTCCAAACCAACCTATATCAAATTTTATTTAAATTTACTTCAACAGAATTTTGTTTCGTTTTCAATCGTGTGTATCTAGCAATACTTACAATAGCTTACTTTGTACCCAAAATCTTAACATTTTCCTAGCTTGTGTAATTTTTTAGATGTGATGATGTTTTAGATTGTTCAATGCTGCTCCTAAGGGTAACAGTGACTAACCATGTAATTTTCTCAGAAATTGTGTGCCATCAATCTCTATAAATAAATCAATTGATTGACTCATAAATTTTTGTACGCCATAATCAAATAGGTCAATCAATGCCGAAAGTAGACCAATTTGTTCGATTACCAAGGATAGGAAAGTACATGAATTTTTCGATAAATACCTTTTGAGTGAAAAAGTTTCTATCTATAAATAATAAGTTCATTATGTCCTATCATTTGACATATTTGAATCTTTCGAAAATTGCAAAAAAGAATTTTTCGCTTTCAGAATTCTGGAGGAGAGTACAGGTATGTGCGAAATTTTTAATTCTCATAAGAAACCAAACATATATTGGATGTCGACCGATTTGACTATGACGCACAATAATTCAGAGGATAATAAATTAATTTACACACAATTTCTGAAAAAGTCAAACAGTTGGTCACCTTTGCTCTCAGGAGCAGTATCGAACAATTTAAAACATCATCAAAGCCAAACATAACAGAAACTAGTAAAAATGCTAAGCTTTTGAATATAAAGAAAGCTATCGTGAGTATTATTAGATATATACGATCAACGATGAGACAAAATTCTATTGAAGTAATATTAAACAAAATTTGATATAGGTTGGTTGGAAGATATACTCATTCTTAATCTTAATCATATCAACTATTATTACTATAATATCTCTTCATTGAGGTATGGATTTTGGTGATTTTTTAAATAAAGGATAATCATTTTATCCGACAGAATTCTTTATAAATTAACTTGTGTAAGAAGATTTAAATGAGGTTGATATTGAAGAATAATATTTTCGAATTTTTTATTTTCATCTTGTATTTGTTCGATTTCTTGATTTAGTAGATTAATTTCAATTTGTTTATTTTTAATAAAATTTTTTTCATCATCAATTCGACGTAATGATCGATCATGTTTCATTGATAATTCCTTTATATTGTAAATACACATATTCCTATCAATTAATAACAATTTAATTTTCATTCTTACTTTAATATATATTTCATAACTAAATAAAACAATAATATTATTCAAATAGATAAAAGAAAAACAAACAATGTTTTTTTTTTAACCTAAGAATTCTTTCTTTAAACATAATTTCTCTTTCATATAAGGCTTCTTTACGTTTTTGTAAATGTTCTGTACGTGTTTTAAATTCATTTCGACGACGTACAAGTATTTCATCAAGTGTATTTACTTCAAAATATTTATTAAGTAATTTTAAATTTAATTTAGCATCACTATAATCAATAGTAAAATCTCTGAATATAAATTTAGAAGAAATAAATCAAATATTTAAAAGAAATATTATTTAATATACTCAGATGATGGTAGTTTAATTGAATTTTCATAGTTAAGAAGATTACGCGCTTCATAAGTCATGTTAAAATGAAAGAAAATCATATATTATTGCCTTAGAAACCTACTCTCCAACTAATTATTCATTAACAAAGATTCACAATAATTGCGAAAATTTTGTGAAACATGAACTGAAATAGATGTTAACGTATCAGAAGAAAAATTTAAATGTCCCATTCCTGATAGATACTAAGATGTTGCCGCTCATTGGTCAAAGACCTATGACTGATCAGCGGCGGATCTAGGATTTTGCCAGAGTGAGGGAACCTACTTTTCTTGAAGTAGTAAGAAGTATAGGTCAGCGCGAATGGAATCATCTTAGTGAGGCTTCTATGTTGGTTAGGTAAGGATTAAATTATGTCGTAAGTTTTACGTGGCATAATCGCTTTGAAAGTTCAATCGCTGGAAGCGTCGAACAAGCTAGATCCGCTGCTGTGGCTGAAAATCTCAAAAAGGATTTGGGTTCCTATTAAAATTTTACTAAGCTATCGAATTTTTTATGTCTGTTTTCTATTGGCTCCAAGTTTTCGGAAAACTTGCATTTTTCAATTTTTATCTGAAACTTTGTGCATATTGAGAGTCCAATCAGACTAACTTCCATAAAAAAAACTCAAAAGTTTTGAACAAAATCTCTTCAAGATTCTCATAAAGATTAGAATATTGAGTATTTTCCATGAAAATACTCCATTCATTTGCTTATATATTCAGCCAAGTGTGGAGTGGGGTGTCGATGTGGGTATATTAAAGGCCCACCCACACCCATCCACATCCTTCTTCATTTTTAACACTATAAAAAGAAAATAGAATATTTCTTCTATCAGAACAGCATCTTCCAATAGACTTCTTGGACTTTTTGTACATGATTATTAAAATAACATGATATTTTTTCATTTAATTGTAGTTGATTATTCTAAAATTGATAAATTAAGTTTTTTTTGTTCTATATTATGTAAAAATATTTTTCTTATTTTAAAAATGATAAATATTTTATCTATTTTCTTCATCATTGTTGTTTCTAGGTCCATATTCTTATATACATAATTAATTATGTACGATCTATTTGTACCAGATACTAATGCCAACGAATAATGTATTGAAAATAGAATTATAATAAAAACTTCTTTTTTTTTTCATACTTGTTTTTCTTTATAAGAAAAATTCATTGTTTTCAATAAATATTGCAGATGATTAAATATACATCCTAGCATTTCGAGTTCTTCACATTTCTTTTTTGAAGTCATTTTATATTCAAATCTAAAATAAAAGCCAGATGACATGCAGAAATAGCTGCACGATAAAATCCTTTTAAATTTTCTTCTTTTTTCAATTTTAATGAGTGTTTAGCATCTTCATAACTAATGTCCGCGCCAGAATGAAAGAGGGATGGGTGTAAGCTCAATAACTCGACATCCGCAATAGGTAGCGACCTGCGGTTCTCACCAATCGAAAGAGAAGGAGTGGGGACGTCTTTTTCTCTGATAGTGTATACGACGAAATCCTTGTAAAACTAATCGTATTCGAAAAACTTGCAAAAGAAACCATGAGAATGACCTGCCGGCTAGATGAAATTTTGATTTTAACCTTTGATTTAGATAGAGGGACTTGAGATCTATAGCTCAGTATACAATGGAAATGATTGTCTTATTACATTCTAATGTTGAGCAAATGGAATCATGTATTTCCATGCGCAAATAATAGGGAATTTTGCTGACTTTTTACTAAATTTTTGCACTTTTTATCTTAGTAGCTTGAGATTTCGATGAAAATGTAAGAAAAAGTAAGAAAGCGCATTGTGTCTTGAACTATAGATCTCAACTCCCTCTATCTAAACCAAAGGCCAAAATCAAAATTTCATCTAGCCGGCAGGTCACTTTCATGGGTTCTTTTGCATGTTTTTCAAATATGATTAGTTTTACAAGAATTTCGTCTTATACATTATCAGAGAAAAAGACGTCCCCACTCCTTCTCTTTCGATTGGTGAAAACCGCAGGTCGCTAGCTATTGGGGTTGTCGAGTTATTGAGCTTACAACCACTCCTCTTTCATTCTGGCGCGTACATTAGAATAATAAATTTTATCTTGAATATAAGCAACTGAATGATTTGAATATAATAAATATAATGGAGGATTTTCTTCATAAATATTTTCAATAAGTTTAATGGTATCATTCATTCTTTGAATAATAACGGGTACGGCAGAATAAATGGTCTTCTCAGTATTTTGACTATAACTTTTTCATGTTTCAACCTATCGAGCTAATTTTTTTTTGAAAGATGCGCCGTGAAATTCTCTACAAAATGATGTATTTTATTAATGTAAATAATCTTCATTATTTTTTTGACAATCGATACAAACGATTTGTCCAACAAGCACAACTTTCCAACACAATGTCTGATCTAATTATTTTAACACCACGCTTTAATTTATTAATGAATGTTTTTTTTTTTATTTAACTTTATTCCAATTCATTTGGTGCACAAATTCATTCCATATACAATAACCCAATGGATTGAGATCAGGACTGTTTGGCGGCCAATGATCTTTATCAATAAAATTCGGAAAGTTGTCCTTGCCCTTGTACCATTGTTGTGTTAAACGGTGTATGTGTGGCTTTGAATTGTCCTGTTGAAAAGTCCAGTCATTTCCAAATACTTTATTTCCATATTTTTTAGCCACTGGCAAGACTTTCTTAATGTAACGTTCATGATTTAATGTTTCTTCATCAAAAATAATCAATGGTGTTACACCTTTGGAACATACATCAAACCAGACCATTACTTTTTGTGGAAACTTTTGTTTCTGTTTAATACCACCTTTATCATCAGCCTGAGCCCGATTAATGGCCCATATAACATCATTTTGAGTATTATACATTCCATCTAAATCGAACATTTTCTCATCCGAAAAAAGAATCTTCATTGTTTGTTCTTTGCAGAAATGATGGCGTATCCAATTTGCAAACATAATTCTTTTAGATTTGTGTGCATTAGTAAGTAATGGTTCAATTCGTTTTAGTGCGAATTGATCTCAATTTATGGCAATGGGATTTCATCTAGAGTTGATTGTTTCCCATTGAAGGTTCTCCATATCTCTCCTGCTCACAACAGCTGACTGGAGACAGGCTTATCACTTTTAATTATTTCGGGTAAAAGATGTCGGACAAATCGTCAAAATCACTATTCTGTGGAACTTACTGAAGATGAAATAAAACTCATGTTGAAGGTTGTAAAACGTTTGTATCCTCTCGAGAGGCTACAGAAATACTCTGCTTCGCACAATATTAATGAAGATTTTCTTAATGTTAACAATGGAATTACAAATATTTTGAAAAATCTTTATTTATTTTTTGTTTTGTTTTTAATAAATAAAAATTGATCGTATAATTAATTGAAAATATTTTTGAATAATAAAACATAGAAAACTTAATAAAATAATAAAAAAATAATCATAATCAAGATGATTACTTCGATTAACTTGTATAGCAAAAACTGTACTTGATGATGATGTTGCTGTTACTGAAAATCTTGTTGTTGTTTGATCACAATAAAGTGGTACACCAGGTAAATTACGATCTGGTTGACAAACAGCATTTTCTCCTAATACAGCTAAGACAGTATTATATGATTGTGTTACACGTAATTCATTGTATTGTATTGAATTTGAATTTGAATTGATAGCTGAAAGAATAGATTTATTTATTTTTCTTTTCTTTTTTAAAGATAAATATAACGATAAATATATGTTAAAAAAAAGAAAATTGTCAAAAGAAAATTATTATTTATCAATGTTTTTGAACTTTGACTAATAGTTATTTGTGTTGTTGCTTGTATAATACGTGCCCAACTTGTTGTTGTTAATGCACATGGTATTAAAGTTGTTATTGTTGATAAAGTTGGTGGAAATGTTGTTGCACTACCTTGACATGGTTGATCAAGTCCATAAATATACCATGTTTCATTTACTACTTGTTCAATTACACGTAATGTTCGAATATTGTTCGTATTAGATGTGATCGCTATCCGAATTTTAAGATGAAGCTAAACTACGTAAACAGAAAAAAAAAATCTCTTTTGAATACTTACAAGGTAATTGTGTAAGTAAACCAATTGATAAACCAAGAAGACCAAGTAAAAGTGGTAGAAGACAACATAACCATAACCAACATGGACAAGCACAAAACCATTCAAGACATGCACAACATGGACAAACACGAGAACACCAACCTGTACAACAATTACAAAAACGATAGCCAGGTACATCAGCATTCTAAACAAAAAAGAATAATGATTCTATTAATTTTAATTTATTGTAAAATCTTGTCTAATAATGTTTAATTCGATAGAAGCTAGTCTAGTTGAGTTCGCTATATATACAAAGTTTCAGAAAATAGACATATTAAAAATTCGATAGCTTAGTCAAATCTCAATAAGAATTCAGTTTTTATTATTATGACAAATCACATTTGAAACATGAGAAATATTCTCAATTGATTAATTACTTTTGATTCAAGATTATGTGTATCATATAAATTCTAATGAGTTATAAGTCTCTTGAAAAGAATTATCTTAATGAATATCTTGTAAATATACCAGTAAATGTGTCTAATTTAATATTCTCATTCATTCCTTCATTTTTAATTGTCACACATTAGTCATAAGATTGTTTTAGTGAAAAAATAATAAAAATGGGCGTAGACATACAAATATCTAAACCATTAGAATTGCTTCATAACATTCTTTTCGCGTGTCTACTGTCTTTTTCCTTCCTTCACATCTATGTGAATAGAAACAATAATAATAACAACAACAACAATAATGATGTTTCTATGTGTGAAAGTAAATCGTTTGACGAACACCTACTAAGTCATCAAGTAACACAAGAAAAAAAAAAAAAAATCGATATCTATTTTTTATTTTAACTTACACGATATCGAACATGTCGTCCATCTTTAGTAACTCTTGTTCTATATGAAACAACATCTTTTCTTCTTGCAAATGAATTTGTTCGACAACAATTCATTGAACCACAACAATCATCAAAACAATCACAACCACAACAATCAGCTCCACAATTACCACACAAATCTGAACGTCGGCCAACCTGACGTCTTGTATAATAATCATCTTGATAATTAACAAGTGTACGACGATCATCGATAACAGTATCGTGAACATTATCATTAACAATTGTTGTTGTTTTTGTTGTTGTTACTGGTGGTTCTGTAACATCAACAATAACTGGTGTTGATGGTACTTGACGAACATCTACAATACGTGTTGTACGTGGATTTTGTACTTGAATATATGATGTTGGTTCAGGAGTTGAACGTATAACAACTCGAGGTGTTGTTATACGTTCTGGTTGTGTTACAATAAGACGATCTTGACGTGTTGGTGGATAAACAACAGTATTTGGTTCTTCAACAATACGTTCACGACGTACAATATTATACTAAATAATAATAAAGTAAAATAATTTATTTTAATCTGTTTTTTTGTTTTTGAACATACAGTTTTAGCAGTTGGTGGAATTTCATTTGTAATATAAGTATCTGATACGACTGGTGGTATAGTAGTAGATCGTAATACTTCTGAAGTAGGTTGTGTTATTTGTACTCGTGATGTTTGAATTGTTTTTGGTAATTTTTCTCGTGTTATTGTTTCCGTATAACGTATTGGTGGTAATTTTTTTTCAGTAACTGTTACAGTTTCAGTTGAATCCGGATGTTGAATTGTACGTACTGTAACTGTTTCTTTAGGTTTTTCATTTGGATCTGGACCAAGTTTTGTTGTTGTAGTTGTTGTACGAACACCATTGTCATCATATGATATTATTCGTGGTTTACCTTCATGAATATCATCATAAGCAGCAGATTGATTTGTCATATTCTTAATTTCTTTTTTTTTTTATAATATGAATGTGAAATATTTTATTTCTTTTCTTTTTTTTCTTTTTAATGCTCAGCAGGTGAATATTAATTATATCGAACGGTATGATTTCCGAAAGTCATTCTCTTTTTTTTTAATTTATTCATAATGTGAAACGGATGTCTATTGAAATTGATTGTTACTGAAGTGAATGTTTTGAGATTGTAAAAAATAACGTTTTATTTTACATGACAAATACAGCAAAAGAGAGCGAGAGAGAGAAAGAAAAACGAAAGAAAAAGTAGAAATAGAAGAAAAAAAAAAAGAAAAAGAAAAGTTTTATTTAGTTATTTCATTAAAAAAAATTTGTCGAAGATTTTTCGATGTTGTTTTTAAATGACATTGTGGACAAATATTTTTTTCATTAAGATATTTCAACCAACATTCTTCACAATTAATATGCCAACAAATAAGTGATATACATGGTTTTACACATGATTCCTACTAAATTATAGAAAACAAAAACAAAAATAATTTCTTTTTTTTTTTTTTTATTATTATTATTTTGATCAATCTCACCATACAAACAACACATTTAGGAGGATCAAGTTCAGTTACATTTGATGAATATAATATATCACTTTTTTGTGTTGAAGGAGAAAATCTTAATAAAAAAAAAAAAGATCGAACAATAAAAAAAAAAAAATCTAAAAAATTCTACTTACCTTTGATCACTGTTAAACGATTCTTGACATCGATCATCACTACACAAACAAAACAAAAATTAAATCTTTCACAAGATTAAAACCTCTAAAACAGTCAACATTCTGATGTATAGCATATCTTTCTTCTAACAAAATTTTCATGATTATCAAGATATTACACTCTCTCATACTTGAAATCAGATTCATCTAGATAATATTTTATTCATACCTATGATCGGCTGTACTAGTTGTTTCATTAGTACTTTGTCGATTGCTATTATTATCTTCATGTTCAATTCCATCATCCATATCGACAACATTAACATCTGGATCATCTATTGATGAACAATGTTGAATAAAAGAAAAACAAAATTCTTTTTTTTTTATACCTTGTGTTGATTCTCTTGTTTGTAATACTAATGGTGGAGGTGGTTGTGGTACTCGATGTTGATTGGCTATTGCAGCTAAAGCTGCATTAGCTGCTAATTGTTCTCTCTAAATAAAAAAAAATATATATATAGAAATAAAATGGTATTTCTTTTGTGTGTACTTTTCTTGAACATTGTTGAACATGTGTACAAAAATATTCTTCATCTGTATTGAGTGGAATTATTTGATAACATATTGGACAATTTCGTGTATCATTACGATTAATTCTTCGATTATGTAATTGTAATTTAGCTACAATACGATGTTATATTATTTTGTTTTATTTTTATAATAAAATATTTCTTACCATTTAAACGTTGTTGTCGACTTGTTCTTACTCGTATATATGTCTATAAGAATATTATACAAAAAGATTAAAAAGAGATTTTTTTGATTTTGTATATTTACTTCATAACGTGTCTTAAATGTTTGATCGATATTATTAATAGTATTTTCTTGTAGAATCTAGATAACAAAAAACAAAAAGAATGATCATTGTCTGATAAACATAGTCAATTATGATTAATTTGTGTATTAACAACAGATGACAAAAACTTACTTTGTTACTATTATTACCATTTGTTAAATGTGATGAACGTCGTGTTGAATATTTATATTGTTGTCTTGTACGTTCAATAGTATCAAGTTCATGTTGAATATGTGTCATCATATCTTGTCCATTTAATGATATTTGACAAATTGGACATTGTGGATTTTGTAAATCATATGTTGATGATCGACATCGACTCTCTAGAGAAACAATAAAAAGGTGTTTTTTTGTTTAATAACAAGCTGCTCAACACATTCTTAGCAAAAAAACAAAAAAAAAAAAAGATCGACGAGCTGTCTGTCTATTCCATCCGGTACTTCTTTTTGTTTTATTCCGTCTCATTAGTCAAGAGTTTGATTATTTTATGACTTCTTCTGCTCTTTTTTTCACTTACGAATTACTATCATACCATATGTCTAAATAGCCTGATCAGACAATTTTTTTTTTTTGATTATACAGCTGAATATTTTCCTCGAAGTCAACCTGTCGATAATGTATATCAACAAAACTGCAAAAAAAAAGTCTAAGTGAAGAGTGATTTTTTTGCCCTGAAGACATGGATTAATATGACTGTTATGCTTATATATATATATTCATTCTTATTAAATATCGATCAATCAATCAAAATCTTGTTTGATCTTAAAACTACTACATATAGTTATTTATGTAATAGAAAATTATTTTTCACAGTTACATTTTGAATATATATATATATTTCTATATGTATGTATTTTTTCACAAGAAACTGTGATTATTACAGGAAACTAGTATGAGTATAGATAAACAATAAACGATAATTGATTTTTTTTTTTGTTTTAGCTTGTTAATTAATAAACCCCACCCAGTTCGTATGTGTGAAATCAACCGGATGAAGTCATCTTTAGGGCAAAACAAGCAGCAGAAGAGATATTTTTACGATAGTAGCGAATCTAAGATTTTGTGGAGAAGGAGAAAAAGGCAAAGACGATCATAGTTATAAAATATATTTTAAAGTCTAAAAATCCTAGATGATTGAAATTTATTCTTTTTTTTTTTTTGTTTTGTTTATACCTGAATATTTACCAAAACTTTCATCACTACTTTTTTCTGATGGTGATATATCACAATGATTTTCATCATGTGTATTAGCTTTAAAACGTTTTCCTGTTGGTAAAAATGCTGATGATGATTCTGATGATTCTGTTGATGATGATGATAATGATGAATTTGAATTTGTTGATGATGTTAATAAACCTGTTGTTGTTGTATTATTTAATAAAGGACGAAATGCAGCTGCATATGGATAATGATGAAAAAGACTTGAAAATAGATGATGGTGATGAACTGCAGCTGCAGCCGTTAAAGATGGATGAGTTGTAGGAAAACGTAAATGATCAGATGATGTTTGATTAAGAAGTGTATTAACTGAAAATGCACCATTGGCTGCATTAAAAGCAGCAACAGCAGCTGATAAAGAATTTTTATCTGGACTTGTTGTTGTTGAATTTGGTGATGATGTTGTTTGTCGTATTGAACGAAATGCTGCAGCCATATCAAGTGGTTGAATCGGATGCCACATTGATGGGTGATACATAATTTTTATTGTTGTTGTTGTTGTTGTTTAGAAGATAATATAAAAATAATCAAATGATAATCTTTTCTTTGTTTTTTTGTATGTATGTGTATCAACTGATCTCTCTTGTCTAAGTTTATCTTTTCTCGTTGTCGTTATACAGAGTTGACTTCTCTCTTCTACTCTGATTGAGTTCTCTCTTGTAGTTCACTGGATTTCTCTCTCGCTCTTTCTCTCTATCGGATTTTTTTTCCTTGTCTCTCTCGGTTGAAAAGAGAATTGGTTAAGAGCAAAAAAAGAGAGAGTACTGTTTAATGATTGGTTGATAACGAAGAAGAAGAAGAAGAAGAAGAAAAAGAAAACTACACTTAAATACACATATGCATATATATTCATTCAAGCGAAGATAGAAAGAAAGATATGTGTATGTGTATATATTATATACATCGAAGGACATGACTCTGCTTCTCTTTAAGATAGATGATTGAGTTTTTCTTGCGCCAGTTGCGACTACTAACATTCTTTCTTCTCACCCCTCTAGCAGCTCATTGTCGACATACAATATAAGGAAAGTCGAAGAAGAAAAAGAAAATAAACCATTACTTATACAACTACCAATAGGAGAGTACGTCTTTCTCTATAGTAATTGGTTGTTTAACCAATAAACGAGAAAAAAGAAAGCAAGATACAATATGTGAAAATAATCGAGCAGCAACTTCTCAAGCAAACAAAAGAGAGAAAGAATCTCATAATATAGTTATATCTATGTGTTTGTCTGCCTATTGGCATATGTCAGAAAATGGTGATAATCATAACAATATTCAAAGATTTGTACATATCAATCAAAAAATGACACTAGCATATATATGTTTAAATCGTATAGAATCTTTTTTTTTTTTTTTTTTGTTTCTTGTAAGATTTCAATTATATATATATATTCATTTAAATCCGATCGTGCAATTATAAATTTTATTGACATAGCAGATATTTTAGTTTCTTTTTTTTTTTTTTTTTTTTTTTTTTTTTTTTTATTTTTAAGAAAAAATATTTAAAAAAAAAAAAAAAGGTTGTTATTTTTCTTTTTTAGAAGAAAAAAAAAAAAAAAGGTTTCTTCAAGTGCATGAACACGCATTTGCATATCTAATGATTATAACAAGAGCTTGATCATGCATTTTTCTATATATTACGTTTGTCATCTATTCATTCATTCATTCGCGTAATACAAACAGGATACACTTGCGCGCTCTCTTATTTGACTAAAAAAGAAAAAAAGAAGAAGAGAACTATACTGATTGTTTGTTCTTACGTTCGATGTCATCGTCAAGCATGATCGATGGGTTTCTTTTGTATCCCCCTATCCATGATTTCTTTTGCTCGCACATATATTAAAATTAGGTACGAATGATGAGACGAGCGAGAAGAGGATGGTAGGCGCATTAGAACGAATCACTATTTGATGAGCATGTAATCAATAAGAAGTATCATCAATCGAAAAAGAAGAAGAAGAAGAAGAAGAAGAAGAAGAAGAGAAAAAAATCACAGCGATGAAGATAGGTTCACGTCAGTCATATTCATTTCTATTATATATATTTTCTTTTTCTTTTGTCGCTTGAGGCAAACATTGAATACATGAGAAAACGAGTCATTGATAGTAGCTGTTGCTGTTTGTCTGTCATCTTGTGATACTTAGTGGCTCCAGATGGTTTGTATGAGTATGTGTCGTTTAAACAAGATGACTTTTCTTCTCTCGTCATTCAACATACTCAATTGAAGTTTATAGGCAAGACAAAAGCAAATGCGAACAAGCATATAAGACCAATTAACACATTGAACAAATTATAAATACATTCTGTTAGAATAGATGGATGTCGCGGTTTCTTCTTTTCTATTCTGTGCCTCATTGCAAATCGTTTTCTATTGATGTGATGCATCAAAAATACAAAAGAATGACAACTCTTTTTCTTTGCATCTATTTTTTCCAAATCGACTGTTAATAAACGAGATCGATGAGTGTATGTGCGTGAGAGCACATATGGAAGATGGCAGGTATATAATTGAAAAAAATGTAATCGATGCACGCGTGATCTTCTGTCAATGATAATTGATCGGTTATTGATGAGTTTTAACTATTTCTTTTTTTTTTTTCTATTTGTCTTGCTAAGTTATGTGTCTGAAAAAAGATCAAACGTTCATAATAGGACTACTGCTGTTTGTATGTTTGCATTAATGTATCGACATTGGTGATTTTCTTTTTTTGTTGTTTTGTTTTGTTTCGTTTATACCATTTAGTCGGAATATAAGATTTATTTGTCATAAATTTACCAGTACATATTAACAGAGATCAAAGATATGTTAAAAAGAATTTTGATTTTTACTATGAATAAATATAACTAATGGTTCAAGTATTGTTTATGTTTGTAAAACAGTCATGGTAGCCAATATTATGAGAGTGTCTCGTTTGTTTTTGTAAACGGAAAATGTCTGTCTTCTAATGGAATTCAAAAAGATGAATTTTTGGTTCTGTTGGGAATAAAACAATAATTTTCCACAATGGGACAGTGTTATGGTCCAGACATCAATCAATACAACATTGCTTTTGTATATACAATGTATTTATATACATAATGGGAACGAATGACTGGTTGTACGAAAATAGATGTCGTTCTTTTTCTAATTCTTCTATACGATACATACACAAACACGTAACTCAATCATACACAACACAAGGTGAGGGTGAAGATATGTGAATGGTGTAAAAGAGTCCTTTTTCTTTGATTACTATTATTTATTTTATTTCTCGAGACGATCGACAGACGTAAATGTATAAGTTATTGTTTAAAATGATGATGAATAGCGGTTGTCATTAGATATTTCTTTTTACTCTAGGGACCCAAGATTTAATAATGAATCAGAAGCTTATACACAATTTCTACGTACTGGTTTCCCTCCACCATTTGACATTACAATACAAGCTATGCGTGATAGAGCTGAAGCTTTACATAAAAAAATTAATGAAAAATTAATTGGAAAATTTAAAGGAAAAGAAGAAGAAAAAAATGTTAAAATTAATAATAATATAGGTAGATTTTGAAATTCATTTTTTTTTCTTTCAAGAACTATTTAAATAATTTAGAAATACCAATTACAATTTATACACCAGTTGATGTTAATAAAGATAAATTGGTCATCTTTTTTCATGGTGGAGGTAAAAGAAAGTAAATTCGTTCAATATATTTTAGAAAATATTTTTTAAAGGATGGACAGTAAATAGTCGGAAAACACATCAAACTATTGTTAATATGCTTGCTGAGTATTTCATTATATATTTATTTAAACATGTAAAATATAGAGATTTTTCTAGTGCAACAAAATCTATATGGATTTCAGTTGAATATCGTCTTTCACCTGAACATAAATTTCCTATTTGGCTTGATGATGGATGTGAAGTCACTCGACAAATACTTGCTAATAAAACTGCTTATGGTAAAAAAAAAATAAATAAATTCCGATTTTCATTATTCACAAAAATTCATATTTAGGTGCTGATGAAAATACAAAAATTGGTGTTGCAGGTGATAGTGGTGGTGGTTTAATTGCTGCATCAATTTGTCATACAATAAAGAATCTTGATTTTCAAGTATAGATATTTATTATTCTAATAAAAATTTTGTATCTTTTTAATGAATAGATTCTTATTACGAGTCAATTTGATTTTTTTCATAAATTTCCATCACGTCAAGAATTTAACCGTCCCCTTTTTGTGATACCAATGGATGTACTTGATTGGTATTAGAAGATATAAATACAAAATAAAAGCAAAACTTCTATATCTATATAAACGGTTCTTCTTAGGTTTAGTTCAAATGCTTTACGTAATGAAGATGATAAAAATGATCCAAGATTTTCAATATTACTTAATAAATCATTTAATTCATTACCAACATGTTTATTTATTGTTGCTGAACTTGATCCATTACGTGATGATAGCTATAGTAAGAAGAAAAATCAATAAATAAGATCAAAAAAAAAAAGACTTATAATTGTATGCTTTTTTTTTAGAATATCAAGAGATACTTGAAAAAGCAGGAGTGAAAACAAAACTTGTTTTAATTAAAGGAGTTATTCATCCATTTTTTAGTAATCCTGGTAAGATGAATTTGATTGGTTTCTTCTTTTTTTTTTTTTATTGAATATATATTTATAGGTATATTTGTTAAATCATGTCAACAAGTAATAGATGCTGTTCAAGAATTTATGAAAAATTTATAAAGAAAATTATAGAAATAAGAATTTTTTTCTAAAATTAAATTTTAGTTTTTTTTTTTTTCAATAAAACTTGTAATAGAATTTCGATTTTATTTATTTGCTATAATCATAGATTAATAGATTGTATCATTAAGGATTTCTAGATAAACTAGTGATATGCATTATACATAGTCTTTCTAGTTTACTCAATAAAGAATTAACGATTAAAGATTATTATAGAAGATAAAATTATAGATTTAATACAAAATCAATATTAGAAAACTCTGATCGAAAATTGATTTTATGATTAATAAAGACTATTTATTATAATCATAGTTCAGAATGCTTGTATTTTAATCTATACATTGTGCTTCATTTTCATTTATTTGAGGATAATAGAAACTGCATAACCATGATTGAATCTAAAATAAATGACTGGTTTTTTTTTGTATTTGTTTATTTTTATTATTGACGAGGGAAGTTCTCCAACTGATAAATTGCTTTTAAGTCGAGACTATGCACATTAAATAGACCCAAATGAACTACAAATACTCTGAAGAGAGTTTGCGTCCTTAGCTTACTTGCTGTGGAGACATTGCACTTACACAGTATTTATTAAATGAGAATGCTGTGTTAACAGAAAAGCTGATTTTCGAATTTCGATTTGAAATTTTGCATAGAGACAAACCTTAATGAGAGTAGTTTCAGGTCTTTTGATTTGTTCATAGCAAAGTTTCAAGTCAGAATTGGAAAATAAGTGTTTCTAGACCATGGCATTCATTTAAAAAAATACCGTGATAGTGTAGCAATAAGCTAAGCGCAAGAACTCTTTTCACAGTGTCCATAGCTCATTTGATTCCACATAACGTACATAGTCTTGACTCAAACGCAATTTACCAGTTGGAGGACTTCTCTCACACATAATCATCCAAAAACATTGATATCAGGATTGTTTTGTGGCCATCTGTAATTGTTTATAAAATGTATGAAATTCTCTTCAGACTATGCAAATGATTGTTGATGTCTATATGATATAGCGTTGTCATGTTGATAGATGAAATCATCGTCAAAGAGACGTTTGTTGGCAGATTGCACATATATAAGAACATATAATTGGAGACATAAGACCATTCGTAGATGCACTTAATCATACCATGATTATTTTGGTTTATACTTTCTTATTCATCTGCTTCCCGACGACGATTTGCAGTATAAACATGTTCTAATGGAAAATAAATTTCGTCAATGAATAGAATTGTTTCAAATCGATATGAGATAAGAAAAAATGATCTTGTTAGTAGGAGCGAAAATTAGTTGCACAGAATTTTGTTGTTTTTAAAAACCATAGATGCATATAATCAACTTTTTATTATAACTTGCAGAGCTTTTCACGCTCATTTTTTTGTATAAATTGATGTGTATTTCTTTAGTATGACTTAACATAAAAGATTATTTCAAATTTCTCTCATATCTCTAATAAACAAAGAAAGAAGACGACAATTATATTATCAAACGTCATATAAATTCAATTTATCTGAAGAGCACGTATTTTTATGTTGAGTTTGTAGCCCTTGTTTTTTTTTTCGTTCTCTATACAATGCAAATATACCGAAAAGAAATGTAAAGAATAAGATTCTATATAGAAAAAAAAAAGTATATTAACCCTCAAATGTCATTCTTTGGTATTTGAGTTTCTTTTTATTATCATTTTCAAATACAATCTAACGAAAAGAATACGATTGTAGTTTAAATGTAAGTTTTTTTTCTTACTCTTTTTTTTTTATAATTAATCAAATGATTCATTATTATATATATAATATATTCTTAGGGATCCACGATTAGGTGATGAAGCACGTGCTTATACTTCGTTTATATCACAAAATTTTCCAGCACCGAAAAATTTGACATTACAAGCAATGCGTGAACGAAGTGAAAATGTACATGCAAAAGTAAATGAAAAACTTATTGGTACATTTAAAGGCATAGAAGAAGAAAGAAAAATAAAAATAGATGAAAATATAGGTAAAATTAAATTCAAAAGTACAATTAAAAAAAAAACTAGAGAAAAAATTTTTAAATTGAATTATTCAGACATACCAATTACAATTTATACACCAGCTAATGTTACAAAAGATAAAATGGTCATATATTTTCATGGTGGAGGTAAAAAAAACAAGTTTTTTTTTTTTTTTTTGATAAATCCCTAACAAAAAAAAAATAAATGTTAAAGGTTGGACGATAGCTAGTCGAAAAACACATCAAACTATTGTTAATATGCTTGCTGAGTATTTCATTATATATTTATTTAAACATGTAAAATATGGAGATTTTTCTAGTGCAACAAAATCTATATGGATTTCAGTTGCATATCGTCTTTCACCTGAACATAAATTTCCTATTTGGCTTGATGATGGATGTGAAGTCACTCGACAAATTCTTGCTAATAAAACTGCTTATGGTAAAAAAAAAAGAAATAAATTTCAATTTTCATTATTCACAAATTCATTTTTAGGTGCTGATGAAAATACAAAAATTGGTGTTGCAGGTGATAGTGCTGGTGGTTTAATTGCTGCATCAGTTTGTCATACAATAAAAAATCTTGATTTTCAAGTATAGATATTTATTGTTCGAATAAAAATTTTTATCATATTAACAAATAGATTCTTGTTTATGGTGCATTTGATTTTGCCGATGGAACAGAATCACATAAAGAATTTACTAGTTCAGAACATATTTTAACACCTGCAGTACTTTCTTGGTAAATTTTCTTTGTAATTAATTATTGTAATATGTACTTTCTTTTTTTGTGATTTATTTTAGGTTTAATTCAAATGCATTACGTAATGAAAATGATAAGAAAGATCCTCGAGCATCTGTTTTATTATATGAATCATTTGATGGTATACCACCATGTTTATTTATTGTTGCTGAACTTGATCCATTACGAGATGATAGTTATGGTATACATTTACAAAATAAAATAAAAATAGTTTGTATTGTTTTTTGTATATTATAGAATATCAAAAAAAGCTTGAAAAAGCTGGAATTAAAACAAAATTAGTATTAATTAAAGATGTTATTCATTCATTCTTTAGTTTACCAGGTAAAATATTTTATAATTCAATAAAATAGACAAAAATTTGATTTTTGTATTAGGAATTTATGAAAAAACTTGTGGACAAGCTATAGAAGCTGTTAAAGAATTTATGGATTCATTGTAAGAAGAATTTATTCGAAAATGATTTTATTTTAAATTATTGTAATTCAAAATCAAAAAAAATAAAACAAATTTAGATCAATTTAATTAATAAATAAAATTTGGATCTAAAGACTTCACTTCTTTAATTTTACGACAGTTCTACTAACAATGGAAGGGTGTGTACTGTTGAGCAGAAAGATTGATCATGTTCGGGTCAAATGATCACTTTCAACGAGAAACGAACGAATTTAAACTATGATGTGCCCATGAGGTACTTGGACAAAGATCCTTGAATCTCAAGGTATGTGAAATTTAGGTATAAAAATAAATCAGGAAATGTTTTCTTCGCTATTATAAGAGCAAAACATAGTGTTGTTCGGGCCGATTATAGGATTTATAGGGACTCTCTTTCAAATGGATCGAACAATACCATGTTCCGTCCTTATAATAGTAGAGTAAATTTTTCGTGTAGCTCATGAAAACGACGTTTTCTATCACCCAGTAGAAAGTTTAACTCTACTATTATAAGGACGGAACATGAGGTTATTCGGGTCATATGAAAGAGCATTCTTCATAACCCTAAAATTGGCCCGAACAACACTATGTTTTGCTCTTATAATAGCGAAGAAAACATTTCCTGATTTATTTTTATACCTAAATTTCACATACCTTGAGATTCAAGGATCTTTGTTCAAGTACGTCATGGGTATACCATAGTTTAAATTCGTTAGTTTCTCGGTGAAAGTGATCATTTGACCCGAACATGATCAATCTTTCTGCTCAACAGTACACATCCTTCCATTGTAAGACTACGAAGACATTTAATATTCAAAACATATTTGTTTTTACATAAGCAAGTTTTACGATTTAGAAAATTTAGACAATACAGACTATCATCTTTTATGATATTGCATGAGGAAATGATTATTTCGAATATTTATTATCCTGAAAAGAAAAGAATTACTTTTATTTAAAAAAATTGTTGAATCTTTAATTTCTGTTTATGACGAAATAAAATCCCAACATGAAAATAGCAATATCCAGCAAACTGTAATATTCATTCAAAGAACCTTTTTTTTTTCTACTTTTGATAAAACTAAATAATAATACAAAAATAGCTGTAATAATTTACTATATAATTACCAATTATCAATTAATTCCATAGCTGCTAGTTTTGTTTTCATCAAAAGAAAATGTTCAATATCGATTCACGCATAACAAAAAACCTGAAAATTAAACATAACTCTCGATTATTAAATCTATTCGGCTTTTGACAAGAAAAAAGTCAAAAATTTTTCCTCACGATTGGATGTTAGCTAGAACTCTCAGCGTGACCACAGAGTATAATTTGGTACTACATTATTGTGCATCATCATCAACTGGTTATCTCTTAGTTTCGACTTCTGACTCATGATCTCCGTGGACTCTAATCAACTCATAGGATCAAAGGTTGCGAACTAATGAAGTGACGAGTTGACGGGATAGTGAGGTATCTCAAGCAGACAAGAGTTTCTAAAAACACGATTCCTATTTGAACGTTATCACGCCCATTCAGAAAATACTAGAATCAAGTACTTTCATAATAAAAAGTGCGTTAGGACGCTTAAACAAAGTAGCTTTTGGTATCTGAAAAAGATGCAAACTTTATTTTTTCCGCAATATTTTGACACGTTTTCCGGGTGAAAATGACTCTTTTTTATGCGTTGTATATGTCTAAAATATTTAGACAAAACTTTTTGAACGTTTTTCCAATGGAAAAGTTACCTTTATTTAAGCGTTTCCACGCACCTTTTATGATAAAAGTAGCTGGTTTGGGCGTTTTCTGAATGAATGTCAAAATGCTCAAACGAGAATCATGTTTAGGATTGTCAAACGTGTTTTCAAAAAATTTTTGTCTTCTTGGGGTACTTCAATACATCCTCATTCGATGGGTCTCTCCCTCTATGTTTTGTGCCGATAGTTGAAACCAATAGTGTATAAATTATTCCTATGCACTTTAACCCGTACAATAACCGACAGCATACCGGCAATCAATCAGAGATTGCCTGATACTTAAACGGTCGACTAATCCTTCAGAAGTGATATGCTGTTAATTATTTTCTTATCGGTAATCTACTGAAAGTATACTGATGGTAGTACAAATAAACGTACGACATGAGTTGCTTATACTATTAATTATTCAATTTATCTTTTCTAAAATTACAGCATTTCTATCTACACATTGCGATTCTTTATCTAATCACATAATTATATTTTTACCTTTTAACAATAATAAAATTCATTTTGAACGGCAAAGATCAAAAGAAAAACAATTTATCTCTTTTCATCGATTATGTTTCAAATCTTGTTTTTTTTTTTCTTATATATCCATCGCGGAAAATATCTGAATATGTACACACAATCATATTCAATAAAAAAACAAAAACACAAACGATATAGACAAACAGGAAATTACATAAACAAAGTATTAATGTTTGCGTTTTTTATTGTATTCAATACACACACGAACAAATATAGACATTTTATGTTTTCATCTGTTAGTTTTTATATACTAATCTAAAGCTAAAAAGCAATGGACAATGTATGTTTTATTTATAGAACAAAAAAAACAATGGTCACAGGGCGAGAAAAGAAAGACAATAACAACAACTCGATGATATTCTAAAGAGAAAAAAAACCAAAAAAAAAAAAAAAGAAAGAACGAAACGAACGAGAAGTGAAATCATCTTTTCAATATAGAAAGAGATTTTATTTTTCGAGTAACAAAAAAAAAAACAAAAAAAGAAAAAGACATATACAAAATAAACACATTAATTAAGTGAACCACGACACGTTGGTGCACCACAACAACATGGAATTTTTTGTTCTTCAAGTGGAAATTTATAATCATATGTTATTTCTTCTCCAAGACGTATATCACGTTTTGAATAGATAACTATTTTCTTTTGTGATTCAACAGGAATTATTTTTGCATAACAATTTGGCTGAAAAGACAAAAAAAAAATTAAAATTAAAATTTTAATATACAAAAAAGAAAAATATATCATTTTCTTTTTTTTTTCATACATCACAACTATGATTAATAAATCGTGCAAGATTTCCACATTTAGTTGCATCAACAATTGTATCAGAATCAACACGAAACATATAATTTGAATTAATTCCTTCTAATTCATATTGTTTTTCACGTAAATCACCAATACTTTGTCGAATTGTTTCACCAACATATTCAATAACCATATCTTCCATTGCAATTGGTTCACAAGCAAATAAACCCCATGAATGTATATTTGATTTAGCATAACGAAGACGTTTCTTTCTTAACTATTTTAATTTATGATAATAGAGAAAAAAAAAGAACAATATATGAATTTCGTTTTTTTTTTTCTTAATTTTATTACTTTAAGTTGACTAAATTTAAAATGATCAGCAAATTCAGCATCACCTAATGCTAATAAATTTCTTCGATGTTCACTACGAAGTTCACGTGACATTTGGGCACCAGTTGTACGATTTGTATCAAGTATAGCTTGTGGAAGCATAGATGAACTTTGAGAATCATCAGAAGTTTTTACATGAGGAATTTTTTCATCTTTTATTATTTTATAATAACCTTCTGTTCTTGCACATCCTTTAAAAACAAAAAGAAAAAAAAAAAAAAGTAATAACGAAAAACTTTTTAAATATTATTTATCCATATCTGAAAATGAATACCTGTTCGATGTTTTTGTGGTGGTTGTTTAATAAATGGTGAATCTCGACTTGGTGGATGATCAACCCAACGTGTTTTTGTAGTACATGAATGTCCTTCTTCACATAGTCTTTAAAATAAAAACATAAAAATCAATTAATTATATATATATAGGGATGATTCATAAGTAGTAATGAGCGGGAGCAATTGTTTTTAATTCTGGTCCCGATCAAAAAAAAATTTTTGATTCTGCATTCATGTTTACTTGTATATGTACTAGCGAACAATGCAATAACACTTTCTAGCAGTATCAATAATCTCGAGATACCTTATATAACCTGTAACATATTTCCGCTTGTCGAAAAAACAAAAAAAGATTAATTTTACTATCAAAATTGTAATAGCAAATATTAAAATGATCGTTATTCAATAATTTCTGCATAAACTTTTAGAACACATGAGTCGTGAGAATATAATACTTGGCGTAAGTTTTACATAATCATTAAAAAAAAATTGGTTTCGGGCTCTGTAGAACCATCTTATCCATATCTGTCCACAAATTAACCGGTAATCCTTATCTGCGAAGAATTTTTGATATGAATAAAATAGAGAGTTACGACTTTCACTACTCGAACGAGGCTGCATCATTGCATAACTCAATAATGTCGGTTGACGATCGAATCGTCAATCAATAATCTTCAGAAAATGAAGATGACACAGTACTCACGATAGAAATTTCCGATTTCAATATGGATCTAGGCGCATTTCTTAGAATGAAACTCTTGCATCATCTTTATAGAGCTATCAGTCTTTTCTTTCTGAAGTCTACTAACTAAGAATTCGATTATGAAGTGCCGCAGCTTTCTATCTTTTTTCCTATCAAAAGTTATTCGCAAACAAGAACTGTCGAATTACTTTTAGAATACTCTGTAAGTAAGAACTAAGCAGACAGAAGAATAAGTTTAGATATTTGAAAGATCAAAATGAAATTAAAAAAAAAAAGAAAGAGACTTTTTATTTAATTTGATCATTACATTTATTTCCAAAAATCATCCAATAAGAGCAAGCATGAAATTGATGATATTGAAAAATAATTTATATTTGTCTATTTTTGTATATAATCAAATATTTGAAAATATTTTACAATCATCAGAAATAATTAATTCAAAAATCAAAAAATATACATATTTTATACTCTCAATCATCAAGGTTAAAGCAATAAACATCAAAGCTTGTTTCTTTTTTATTCATTAATAATTTTACCTATTCAATAAAAGACAAAAATGACCTTGTTTTCTATTGAAATATAATATCCAAAAATAATAAAACATTTGATACATACCTTTGAAAACTTTGTTTAAGATAGGACATATCTTCTTCATCAACACCTTGATCAAGTTCATACATAATTCGCATTTCATCATCATGTGCACGTGGTAGAAATTTTGGTGTTGGAGAAATTATTATTGGAACTTGAATACCCATATCATGTAAACCATCGATAGTTAATCGTTTAGCTACTGGTACAGGTTGTTTAGTCAGAATGGCATAATTATGTTCAAATTCAATATAAGCAAATGGATTATAAGATTTAGAAGGTGATGATACTTGTTCTGAAAAACTATCTAATAAATTAAATGTTTGAATTGTTTGTGTATCTGAATTATTATTATTTGTCACTTGATTAAGATTTGTTGCACTAAATAAAAATTTTACTTATAACTAAGTTAACATTAAGAAAATCTAAATTTTGACACAAGGAATTTTCCAATCGAGCTGAAAGATATCTGGGGATCTGAAAATTCCTTGGCACGAAATTCTTGTAACTCAAAATTTGATATACTATCGATATAATCTTACATTTTCTTTCGTTTTGCTAATGTACTGGTATCAATATCATCTTGTTCTTGTATTGGTTCATTTTTAATCTGTTCCATCTTTCGTTTTTTTGTTGGTCCAGGTTTTTTATTTTGTTTGAGGATGTTTTTATTCGGAATTTTCTTTATCGGTGATGTTGGTGTTGGAGGTGTCGGCGTTCGTGGTTGTGGTTCAGTGTCCATTTGATTTGAATGATTTTGTTCTTCTTCATTGTCATCATCTTTAATTTCTCCTTCTTCTTCTTCGGCAGGAGTTGGTTGATCAATAGATGTTTTATTATTTGTTTTCGTATCTGATAATGATATATCTTCATGATGTATCGAAACAGAATCTCGACTTTGACTATCATCATTTTCAGGTGTTATATTTGACTCACTACTACTAGAACTTAAACCTAAAAGAAAAAAAAAATTCAATAATAAAATCAAAAAGATTATTTATTAAAACTTTTACGTTTTTGAGATATTTTTCGTGGTTGGTGTTGTGGTTCTTTCTTTCTAATTGGTGTTGTTGGTTTTTGTGGAAGAGTTGGTTTTTCATTTGGAATGGTTCGTTTCTGGAGAAAAAACAAAGTCAAATTCAAGATTCGAAAAAAAAAAAACAAAAAAGAAAAAATTTTCCTGAAATTACTTTAAATGAAGGTATTTTTGGCATTTGTGATCGCATAGATGAACCTGTACTATCTTTCATATGTTCAAAATATGCTGATAGATTTGTTGATGATGAAGAAGTATTATGTGATGGTACTGTTATAGGAATAGGTGTTTCATCTGGTGTTCGTTCTAATGATGAATTTGATATTGAATGATGTAATAAATTTGACTGTTCATTATTTGAAGTTGTTGTTTGTTCATTAATAGAATTTTCAGCTGATTTAATTTTTCTTATTTTATCTTTTCTTTCTTCATTATCATACCATGTTTCAATTGATTTATAAACTAATGTTTCAATAAGTTTTTTAGCTAAATCTTTTCGAAGTATTTCAACTAATTCTCCTGTTACAATATTTGATACAGCTGTTGTTAAATCATTTGTTTTTCTTTCACGTTCATCAATATTATCATTTGGATGTGGTTGAAGACCATTTGATGTATTATATGATTGATTATTTATTGTTGTTGTTGTTGTTGTTGTTGTGGTTGTTGTTGATGATGATGATGGTGGTGGTTGTTTAAACATATCTTGCCAATTTGTTCCACCAGTTGAATTTAAAAATGATGCTGGTGGAAATGAATTACCAAAAAAATTAAAATTATTAACAACACCATAGGATTGTTGATGATGATGATGACTACCAACAACATTTGTTAATGGTGCTGGTAATGGTGGTGGTGGATAAGAAAAAAGTGTTTGAAGTTGAGCATTTGGTAATGGTAATGGACGATGATGAGGTTTTGTTGGTATAGATGTTGGAATATTTGTTTGTTGATGTTGTTGTTGTTGTTGAAATAAAGCTGCAATACGTTCATCTAAACTTGGACGTTGATCTTCATCATCATTATTTTGTTGTTTGGAATTTATTATTCGAGAATCATTTGATAATTTTCGATTTGGACTATTACTTGATGAATAACTTGATCTTGATGTTGTTGATGATGATCGTGAATATGATCTTGATGTTGAACTTGAACTTGATGATGTTGATGATGATGATGAACGAGATGTTGATGATGATGTTGTACTACTACTTGTTTTTCGTCGTCGTCGACGTTGTTGAGAATATGGACGACGATGATGTGATCGATGGCGAGATCGATGAGATGATGATGATGATTTATAATTATTACTATTATTACCAAATGAACCATATGGATCAAATGAAAATTGTTCAGAACTATCATTAACGGAATGATGATTACGTGAATCATATCGAGCTGATGTTGATGAATCTAAATATTAATTTTTCATAAATATTAGATTTTCATTTTAATCTTATGAATAAAATTCAAACAGAATAATACTTTAGGTCATTACAATTTCAATAACAGAACTCAATTATGTTTGACTATAAGCAAAAACAATTGTCTAATATCTTGTTTTATTTTTGTTATTAGTATTTAATCTAATCTTTCTCTATTAATTCAAGATGATAATAAAGCAAAATAAATATTATTTTTTTTAAGCATTTAGTCACTCAGCATTAATACTTTTACGTTGATAAGATTTAACATGATTTCCATTTATTCGTTGATTATTTCGTTTGAATGATGAAGCTGAAAACATAATATTTTCTTTATATATATCTACTCTAATATATTTATAAAAGAGACGTTTTTTTTTATTCTTATATCATAAATTTACTAACATTTTGTTGTTCGATAATGATTTTGTGTTGAATATGAATTAGATGATGATTGTGATACATGATTTGTTATTTTATGATTCACAGATGGTAATTGCATAGATATATGAGATTTTTCTGTTTGTTTATTATTATTATTATTATTGTTATTAAGATTTAAATCAATTGATGGTGGTGGAGAAGCAGCGGCTGATGCAGCTAATGCTTTTTCTTGTGCAGCTTTTTCTTGTTCTTGTGCACGTATCATAGTTGCATATTGTTTTGTACGTTCTTGACCAGACGTTTCTAATGATACAGATATAATACTACCCATTTTAGTTGTCATATTTAATGCATTAACACATTCACGTGCAGCTTTTGTTGTTTTAAAAATTACCTTTTTTTTTATTAAAATTTTTGAAGAAAATTTAAAAAATAAAAAAAAAAAAACATATTAAATTAAAATCTTACTGTTCCTAATCCAAGATGTTTTTTTGTTTGTCGATCATAATATATTCTACAATCATCAATTTCACCAAAACGTTTACACATATCAGTTAAAAATGTTTTTGTTATATTATCATTTAAATTTCGAAATGTTACTTCTTTAGCTGGAATTGTACCAACCCAACAACGATCAAGCTGAACAAAAACAAGAAAACAAAATAGTAAAATTAAATTATAAATTCTATTGAATTACTTTAAATTTTGGTACAGGTAAATCATAATATGAACGATCAAATCGTGTTACATCACGTGGATCTCCACATCCGGAAACATGAAGTGGTGTCTTAAAAAACAAAAAAATAAAAAGAAATTTTTGTTTATAAACTCTTGTGCGTTTTTTTTTTTACTCCTTCAAAATCTCCATTTGCATACAATCGTTTTTCTGCTGGATGAATTGCACTAAATAATATAAAAGAATAAAATTTCTTTTAATTAATATATGTATATCTTTTTTTTATTCATACGGATCTCCTGCATAAAATCGATAATTTCGTCGTCTTTCATTCATAGGTGTTTGAGATATTGAACGATTTAATGTATCTGTTGTTGATTTATTTAAAGAAGTTGATGTGGATGAAGTAACTAATATTAAAAAAAATAAATTACCCAAAAATAAAAAACATAATTTTATATTCTTACCATCGAACATATTCTTCATTCATAACAAAAGACAAAACACAAAAAAAGGAAAAATAAAAACCAAAAAAATAAAATAAAATTTTATTCACTCAATCTGTCATAAAGACGATGTAGTAAATAAAGAATGAAGATAATTTACAGGTTTTTTTTTTTCATCAACGACACAATCAGACAACTGTAGAAAAAAAAACTACACTCGAATTATTTATTATTGGTTTATTTCCAATTAACATATTTATGCAGAAATAAGAAAAAAAAAACATTACTGACATCTATACATTTTGATGACTAATAGATTATTAAATAAATAATAAACATGTCATTTGGATAGAAAGAAAATAACAACAATAATAATATAGAGTTGAATTTTGAACGATGCCCGAATATGGGAGTGTCGTTTTAACATTAAGTAATGTTTTATTACCATCAGATAAACTTTATCCAAATGCAACACCTTCAATGATCGAAGGTTTACCTTATGATGTTGAATATGACTTAAGATTAATTGGTTGTGAACTTATACAAACAGCATGTTTATTATTACGATTACCACAAGTAAGTTTTTATAGAAATTCAATCTAGAGGTTGGGACGAAGTCAAGAGGTGGAATACTGATTGGAGGTGTAGTGTAAATAGGACAACAAATGTATTATTTAATGACATAAAAGTCTTTGTGTTTCTCGTTAGTATTACTCGGAAAACTTCGTGCTGGTAATCTTTTTTTACTGTAAACAATAAGAAGAAAATTACAATAAGTACCAAAATTAGTCAACAAGATTTATTTTTGAATTTTCTTTTTCGCTGTCGGAAGTGTTAGAAAGAATTCAAATAGAGGAAATTGTTACCAACAAGAATATAAGGAAATAAAAACTAGTATGTGATACCCAAAGGTAGAAACTCTAGAAAATCAAAAGACTAGTTTTTCAATATCTAGAACGAGTAAACATAATTTTCTTTACACTGCATAGAGCGATAGAGTAAATAATTACCTACAAAATAAAACGTATCCGAGTTTTCTGCGACATTTTTTAGTTGAGATACAGCAATCTTAGGGAAGCTTCTAACGTTTGTTCTTTTTTACTATTTCCTATAGAAAAATCATTTTTTGACCTTCAATCAATTTTTGTTGTATCTCAGTCGAATAGCATCATCGCAGAGAACTCGGAGATCTCTTATTTTGTAGAGATTTGTTTATGCTATCATGATATATAGTCGAAACAAAATTATATTTGTGTATTTCCGGTATTGAAAAAAACGAGAGTTTAGATTTTCTAAATTTCTCTAGTTCCAGTAGTTTTCTCATGAGTTAAAAAAAAAAAATGAAATGTTCGCCTGATCTAGGGAAAAATCGCCAGCGTTGAGATGGCTGAACTTCACCCCTGTAAATGTTTTTTTTTTCTTCTGACTTTACTACTAAATATAAAACAATAAAGAATTGAATTCTGTTATGTTTTATTTTTAAAAAGACAGCAGTAGCTACAGGTCAAGTATTATTTCATCGATATTTTTATTCATCATCATTTATTCGTCGTCCAATGGAAATATTTGCAATGGCATGTACAAATCTTGCAGCTAAAATAGAAGAAAATGCTCGACGAATACGAGATGTTATTAATGTATTTCATCATATAAAACAAATTCGATCGGGAAAGTATGTTTTAAAATTTAGAGAAAAAAGAATTTAATTTTTTTTTGTAGAACTATTCGTCCATTATTAATTGATCAAGTATATATTGATCGAAAAAATGAAGTTATTAAAGCTGAAAGACGTTTACTTAAAGAACTTGGATTTTGTGTTTATGTTAAACATCCACATAAAGTAAATTTTCTAAAGATGTTATTAGTAATTTCATTTTTTTTTTTTTTTTGTATTTTCTAATAGACGATTACATTGTATTTAAAAGTACTAGAAAAAGAACGTGAAAAAAATCTTGTACAAACAGCTTGGTAGGTATTTTAAATTTATTTTTCTATGACTAATATTTTTGTTCAAGAAAAAAAAACAAACAAAACTTTTAGATTTTCTTATTTGATATGATAGAACAAACAGTCTGTATTGATCATATTTAAACTTATTTTGGTTCGTTATGATCCAATAAGTTTATATGAGATTTAATATTTGACAGTCTGTTTTGAAAATCTTATTAGTATATATGAAATCTATGGTATAACAATATGTTTAGAAGTCTATCTGAATTTTGATTATAATTTGTTTTTTTCTAAACAGTTACGAAAAGAAATCAAATAAACTATTTTAAATAGTTTTATAGGTAACAAAATAAAAGTGATAATATTTTTGAGTACACAGAATTGTGATCGTTTTTAAGATTGATTTTGTATTTATTCAATTAATATCAATTGATAGAATTTTTCATTTTATCATTCAGCTCAATGCAAATATTTGAGCAGAAAGATATTTCACTTAACTTTAAAATCATTGATCTATTTCTATATATTCAGAACTTTCTATAGAAATAAGTCTGATAGAATTTTCTATAGAGAATATATTTAAATATTATTATTTTTTTCTATTAGCAGCATATTCTATGATTAAAAAGAAAAAGCATTTAACTAAAGTATGAAGAAAAATCTGTTTGTTAATTTTAGTCTTTCTCTTTTTGATTATTCAAATGTATTTTTAAATTTGAAATTTTAATATATTCAATAAAATGAATTTCTTGTCTTTCGTCCAGGATATATGGAAGAATGATGCGTATATAACCCGTTCATATGGTCGGAATATATACATATACACAACGTCGGGTCGTTTCTTCAACACTCGACTAATAATCAAGTATCGGTCGGTAATGTTTTTCTTTTTCTTTTTTTTTCTAATAATATTTTCTTATTTATATATATATATATATTTCAAAATATATATTCTCTCTCTTTCTCTATTATTCTAGTGCTATATTGTTATGTTTGATTTTAATCTTAATTTATTAGATTGAACAAAGCTGGTTCAACAAAACAAAGATTTTTCATATAATTTAATATCTATTTAATTATTTTATATACTTTTCTTTCTAGATTTATTTATATTATTCATATTGAGGCGCACCCCTAAAAAAAAAATCACTTTTCATCAGAATGATCGAAATTAAGATAAATTCATGGGAAGATAGTCCGCGATCTGATCTTCCATAAATAACATACATTTTTTCTAGGCATCTCTTTTTTTTTTGACCAAAAATTGTTGAACATTTTAGAATCGTATCTCCAGCGCCATTCGATCACAGTAGGAGATAAAATCAAATGTGTTTTTTTCGGTTGAAAGCTCGTGTTTAGGGCTACGAAAGTCATTAGCTCCAGATGTCTTTGAAGATTCTATTTTGAAGAGGGTGATCTTAAATATTGAATTAAATAAAAAGAAAAAAAAAAGTATTTTTATTTTTCTCCAGCTTTGTTCATTTTCTATTAAAACCAAACATAACAAATAATACTATGAGGTTTTTTTCCCCCTCCTCCCATTACCGATATACCGATACTTGATTTATTAGTTGTTTTTTTTTTCATGAAAACAAAATAACTATCGTATTTTGTTTTTTTTGCTGTTGTAAATTTAAATCAGAAATTTTTTTTGTTTAGGAATTATATGAATGATAGTTTACGTACAGATATTTTTCTACGTTTTACTCCTGAAACAATTGCTTGTGCATGTATTGATTTAGCAGCACGTATTCTTCAAGTAAAAAATTCAAACAATAAAATATAGAATTTCAAATGATTTTATTTAATATTTAAATAGATTTCATTACCAAAAAATCCTCCATGGTTTATTATATTTGGTGCAAAATCTGATGAAATTCATTATATAATGATAGCTATACTTCGTTTATATAAACATCGACCAGTAAGAAAATACAAAACAAAAAAAAGAAAAGACGTGTTTTGTTTTAAATTAAATTTACTTTTTTTTTTTTTTTTTACTAGAAATCACTTGATGAACTTGAAAAAATTGTGAATACAATTCGTGAAAAACGAGAAGATGAAAGAAAAAAATTACGACCTGATACAAATCAACAAATAGATTTAGGTAATGATTCACCATTACAACAACAACCACAACAACAACAACAGCAAATTACTCAAAATTCTATATCATCAACAGTAATTAATACAACAATGACTGTTATACAACAAAATAGTAAGAAGAAAACAAAAAAAAGAGGGAATTCTTTCTCTAGGGTTTGTTTTTTTTTGTAGTTCCTACTGTGATTGCAACAACACAAGAAACAACAAATGTAACAACGACAACAACAACAACAACAAATGGAAAAATTATTAAAAAACATGATAGAGGAAGTTCAAGAGAATCATCAACAGTGAATACACATCGACATCATCACTCTAGAAAAAAACGAAGTAGTACACAAAGCAGGTAAATTTCAAATTTCGTTACTAAATTTTAGTCTTTCTTTTATAGCTAGTAAAATAATGATCGAGTTTGTGATTAAAATAATATAATCAATTGTATTATTTCTTATTATTAATGAAAGAATCACTCGAATTGATATCCATTGTTTGAGTTAGCTAAGAGAGCATCTTAAGGAGAATAAAAAAGGTCTTAATGAGTTTGTCCCCATGGGAGTCGAGTTACGATCATTTTATTGAATGTTCGACTTAGTTTTAGATATTTATGGAAAAAAAAAATTTCGATCTAAAATTTTGCTCATATATAGAATTCATAGAATATCCTGAAAATTTGTAATTTAATATCTTGAGAAAAGAATATTTTTCTTAGCTGAAATTTTCAAGACATTCTATGGATCAGTAGAACTATCTATAGTTCTATAAGGCTTTTGCTAGTCGGGCCAGAACGCCCTTGTAGGTCCAATATGAAGTGAAATGGCGAATATCAGTTTGAATAATTATCTCAAAAGATATTTGTAAATTTCTTTCTTTTCAAATAGTTATTATTATAAATCATCATAATCTTTATTGAATATGTCCGTGACAAAGTTTTTTTTTTTGGTTCCAGTCTAGAGAAAACTATTCCAAAGTTTATTC